ACAAAGATAGTAACAGTAACAAACAAGTATAGTCATGCAAATTCCACTTTGCAGGTATAGAAGCTGATGTTGGCTGGTTAAATATGACAAAGTCAATTTAAAGAATGTTGAGTAGCTAGCGTAATTATTCCAAAAATCTACATAACCACCTTTAGCCTAAACGTCTATGAAGATTCTCAATTCTCAGAGAGGATAATCCTAAGGAGGAAACTGCACCCAGTCACTTTTTGAGTATTGGGTTGCTTTATTGTTGAAGCTTCATGGGTCTTAACCTGAACTCAACTCTTTCCAGGTCAAGCAGTGATTGTGTTTTTGTCCCAAGCACAAGACCCTGTAGACTTTGTTGTCTCACAAAACTGGAGGCCTTTTCTCTCACTCCTTTCCCCACAAAAATCAATTCTGTGTTTTATTTTTTCATCTAGTTTTATACTGCTTAATCCATATAGTTGGTGGTATCTAGGTCATATGTCTGTGCCCTAACTGCAAAAAGAAGCAAAAGATGATAATTTTATGGGTTCTTCCTAAGCAGGTGACCTAGAAATTTTCTAAAGATAATAAATGTGTTTAACAGTTGCTAGAAAGTCAGAAAAGAGCCCTGCAGTGAGAAATATTCACCCCCACCCATCCATGCACACAAAACTAATACCATCTCAAAGAATATAATTAGGTATACAGTATTCATTTTCTCAGCAGAGTGATAATATCAACATTATTCCTTTTAGCTACAGAGGAAAGACCAAAATTAAGCAGAATTTAATGCAAGAAAGCTTCTTTTTCAGGCACCAAGTGCTCTTAGAACATTTGAGAGAGATGTGAATCTTAAAAAAATTACTATATTTTAGACAGAAGTACCCAAAGAATCCATCAGGTTCATGGCATAAGATATAGAAAAGAGCGAACAGACAGCAGTGCAGGTTCCTTCTGTAAATTTGATTCTTATCAACACTGTTACATTGCTCCATTATTTCCTAGCTACAGTGGCATTTCCTGGGTGTCTTATTTCTGAACACAGCCACACTTGAAGCACAGCACTCTCAGAGCAGCATGGAGTAGACTGGAAAAGGCTAAGATATAGAAACAGACACTTCCTCTGGCATGCAGCTACCATATTCATCAGAGCCAGCTGTAGACAGTGAAGCACAGACTGGCAGATGGGCTGCAGGTACAGAAAGTAGATTGTGTGCAGTGGGCTCAGACATGTTGTATATGTGGGCTGCATATTCTCCTAATGATTGCAACTACTCTAAAAGATGCATAATTGTAGGTGGAGTGCAAATTCCTAACATGCACTTGGTGAAGATTCAGTCAATGGACACCAATAATGCACCAGTAAATTGGTTAGCAAGTAGCAGGCACTAGTTAGCCACTAGGCCTAGAGGACAGGCCTCCAAACTCTGGGATGCATTAACAAGAATAGGACTAGGTCCTAATGAGACAAATCTGCCAAAGCATAATATGAAGACTAGACTTGGGCACAGGAATAAATAAAATAATCCAATATTAGGGTAAAACTATGATAGAGAGTAAATAGAATTGAGTTTCTCATCTAAGTTGCCCATATTAATGTACATTATAAACCAGGAATAAGAGCATTATTAATAACTATGCTAGGACAACAAGCAAAAACCCTGAATGTTTGGGGCATACTGGGACAAATGAGGATCCTGGCTTTACCTAGAGAATCCAAAGGCATGATGTAAAGAAACATAATTGAATAGGAGGAAAAAATTCAAAAGTTGATAACCAAAGAAAACTTGATTTAGGAATGACTTTTGTTGTTTCTTTTTTTCTTTTCTAGTTTTTAGTTTCAATGTTGAATGAAACGAAGTTAAAAAATCAGCAAACTTAAAAAAATTTTTCTCCCCTTAACTCACTAGTTAACCAGAGTTTATAATGATTATTCCAGTAATATCAATAGGCATGAAAACTCCCAAGAGAACTTACTCCAAAAGATGGCAGAATAAGAGGTGGATTTTGCTTAGCTGTGGGTTCAGTAGCAGGCAGGGAGATAGTTTAATGATGAGCTCCTCTACCACTCTAGCTGCAGTTTCACTGAGGGCCAGGCTGTGGATGATACCCAGAGGATTTCTATGGAACGTGCCCACGGGGACAAAAAGTTTGTGGCCTTTGGCTTATTAGAAATTTGGGAAATGTTAAGAAAAAGAAAATCAGATGCTTATCCGCCACGTGATTATGATGTCACTCAAAAACTCTAACTGTTCACAGATTCACTAAGAAAAAGCTTTCTGTGGAAAACATTACCTGATCCCAAAAGTAATCAGAGAAGGAATTTGGAACTGTCCCTAAAATCTGGCATTTTAGCTTCGGTCAGATAGTTGGATCCAGGCCTCAGTTTTGTAAATGTTATAAAGTTGTACTCAGAAAGCCAGCAGAACTTTGCCGCAATCTTTACACAGTTCACCATTCCATTTTGCCAATGCTGCAGTGTTATTCAGTGATTCATTCAATACTAATCTCGCTATGACAAGTAACTTTCATTAAGACATTCACAGGGACAACCTCAATTTAAAGTATGTTATGAGGGGAAAAAAAGATTCTCAATATGGGTTTTACCTTTAACAATGAGGTTATGAACACTCTGGGTCATGTTAGCTTATTGAATTCCATGCTCCCTTCCCACACTGTACAAAGCTTCTTTCCAAAGATCACACTCGTGACGATTTGAAGGATTAGAAATCCAGTATCTAAATTTGAGGGTCAGCCAGGCCATAAATTAATGAACATCGCATTCCTAAGCAAATTTGACAATATAATGACTGAACAAAGAATGTCAATGAAAAGTGGAAAAAAAATGTGGAGAAAGTTCCTTGACCCACAAGCCATTTCAACCCTTCCCATAAGTCACAGACCTGTTTCTTTCTCTTTGTTCTTATCATCACTTTTAAGACTGAATGCACTATACATTTTACTTGTGTTGTCTCTACATATTACAGCAAGATTCTGTGTGTTTGGGGTCTCTATTCTTAATGTTTAGAATTTTTGCCTGCATATAACAGATATTGAGTGATATATATTAAATGAATGAGCTATGGAGACTATCCTCCTCTTACAAATCATTCAGTCTAGTTCACCCTTAAAATATAAAGCAATTCATTGAGAAAAGGAGTTTCTAATCTCTTTCTCGTTCATGCCTGGAGGTTCTGAGTTGTCAAGTGGATCTTTTTGAAAGAAAGATATTTAAGAAAAATGCAGAGGCTGTGAAAACTTGAGTGTATGGCTAAAAGAAAGAGAGATATATAGATGAATTCACCTACCTTTTGGAATTAAAAAAATATATATAGGCTAACACCAAAAAAAACAATTATACTATTATAAAGTATCATATTTGTTAAACTTCTGTAAGTTAATCAAGTCTTAGCTTTGCTCTACCTGTCTCCCTTAACAGCAATAAATCTTTCAAACTAAAAAGGTTCAATGACACCAAAGAAATAGGAGATGGCAGAGGAATCCTGAGAAATAGAGCAAATATAGAACTTTAAAAAGAAAGATGGGGGAAAACATTCTGGTATACTAGAAACTCAGAAAGAAATCAAGAATATGAGAACCTGAGAAATGTGAATCCTGCTGTATCCTGCTGTTTTTCAAAAGTTAATGATAATCTTAAGTAGTTTTCATTTTTTCCCAACTTTTGTAGCCACTGCACAAGGACAAAGCCTCACCATTTTCTCATAGGAACACATGGAATATTTAGATCTGGGTAAACATATGTATTTCATTAAACATTATCATTTAAAAACTTCAAAAAACACTTCTTCCATTGTTTTTGAAATACAAAGCACATCATCAATACCTACAGTCACACTACTGTGCAAATGTAGTACCCACAGCCTAATTCAAATATTTTCAAACCACTTTCTAATAATGTCCACAAATGTTCACAATAATGCCTAAGTGTGAACTCCATAAATAATGAACTCCTTAAATAATCTGTCTTATCATAGCTGTATCTCAAACAAGTAGGAAGAGACTACGCTCCACAAATATGTAAATAATGGTGCTGCATAAATTAATAAAACAATCATGATATAAAACTATTGAGATTGTTATTTTAATAATATAAAACATTAACTTACATACACACAAAAATCAGAAAAAACACTAAAATAAAATGATAGAGATGTTAATTACCTTGAGGCATTATTCAATGTATACATGAATTAAAGCATCAACTTTAGGCTCATCTATATGTGTATTACATACTAATCAAAAAATTGAATTAATTAAAAATTTACCATGAAAGATTTTCTCCTCTGAGAGTGAGATTTCTTTTTAAAATATAAGCAAAATCAAAAGAGAATACCACAAAAACGATGCATCTAATAAATCACATAACAGTATAAGGCATAAAGAGAATTATAACGCACTCATAACACCAACAGGATCCTGCATCCTCCAGCGCTTCGTTTTCCCTACCTCCTACTTCTTCTCTGCCTCCAAGGAGGGGGAACAGTAGCAGCATGAGTTGAATTCTCCACATGTGTACTCTCTGCCATCCCACTATTCCAGTTTCTTACTGTTATAATTCTCTATTATTGCTCTCTTTTCATTTTTAGAACAAAGTACAATTCCTGACAGACAGGTGAACATATTGAATGTTAATGTTCTATATTTATCAATTAAGGAAATGACAAAATGCATGACCCATTTCTTTCACTTAATATAAAATCAAACCTAACAGGTGTGTGGTGAGAACAAAATGTAAAAATGGAAGTAAAAAAACCTGGCACATAAGAAGCACTCAAAGAAATTGAACATAGTTATTATCAGTGTAACCAGGTATAAGTGGGTTTGCTCCCTTAGTAACAACCATCTTAAATTGTGGCTAATATTTCCTGCCCTGCCCATTCGTACTCTTGATCTTAAATTACTTTTGGGAACTATAACTCGACAGACAAACACATATTATTGTTATGATAATGAATATATGCCATTGTCTTTGTGCATCTTGCCAATAAGCTTATCCTTTAGAGACACATTACCTTTGCTGATGTTTCAAACCATCCTACAAAACCATGCTCCTTGCAGAACTGGTCCATCTTGAGGCCATTGTTCATGAGCACATCCTTCCCCTGGTCGCACTTGTTAGCCAATAAAACCACTGAAACTGGTTTGCCATTTGGGAGAGTTAACTTAGAGTCCAAATCATTTTTCCACTTTGTCACTGCTTCAAATGTGGCCGGCCTGGTGACATCGAAGACAATAAATGCACCCATAGCTTCTCGGTAATAGACTCTTGTCATGTTTCCAAATCTTTCCTGACCTGTAATAAAAAAGAAACAGAATTCAAAAACTTGCTGCAATCAGAAACTGAATCATATATTTGAACTTCATGTAGCCTCCAGAATGAGCAGGTCACTCAGTAAAGAATTTTATTGTTAATTTTTAAAGAATCAGTTAAATATACAGTCCTACCTCTTTGTTCTCACTGAGTCCAAAAGAATTCATTTAATAAATATTTGGTGAGATAGTACTGTGTATCAATATTTTAGAACTGTTACTACAATGTCTCACTATCTACTATTTACATTTAATTTTAATGTTACTATTTACATTTAAACAAAAAATAAATAAAATCTAAAACTTAGTTCCTTAATCACGCTTTTCAAGTGTTCTTTAACTAAATGTGGTTACTGGACTAAATGATGTCAATACAAACATCAATACAGGATGCATCAATATAGGACATTATATAAGGCAACATAGCAACATAGCTCTCAACCCTTGGGATACAACGATTGAAACATGAAGGTTTCTGCTATTTATAAGCTTAAACTTTAGTGGGAAGGTATCTTAATAAATAACTAAATTGTGTATGAGATATGATCAAAACATGGTGAAAGTTTAAATTTCTTAAAATTCATTACAGTAAAAGATATATTGTCATCAACCCCTCTCAAAATACTGTCCCTCACTTCAAACACAGTCATCCCATCTTTCTTACCATTTCCTAAGCAATTCTGGAAATCCTCTTTCATGAATGCCTTTAGCTGTGTGGTGGTGGCTGCCTCGATGTCCTTAATCAATTGAAAATGTTTACTTTTCATGATAATTTTGACTTCTGGGATGAGCTAGAATCTCAGGGTGGGTGGACTCAATGAATAAGTTGGATAGGGCTACATCATGATGGTTTTATTTGGCATTAATTGCTGCAAATGTTTTGAGTCAAATGAGGACATTGAAGCAGATGTGAAAAGACACTCAAGAAAGAGGACTTTCAGAACTGCTGGATCAAGTGACAAGACAATGGTATAAGAAGGTTTGAAGTGAGGGGTGAAATATTTCGAAGGAGATTAATAGCAGTATATCTTTTACTGTAATTTTTTTAATTTGTAATTTAATTATTCACCATATATTTTGATCACACTGCATATGTTTAAAAAGCATCCAAAACCTATTTCAATTAAAGGTAATAATATGAACTAGCATTCATTATATAGTCACTAGCCATTAGAAATGAGATTTACATAAATGATGAGGGCACAATTACTATCATTTATTTATTTGTTTATTTATTTGTTGTGGTGCTGTGAAAGAACCTATGGCCTTGAGTGTGCTTGACAAGTATTGTAACTCTAAGCTACACCCCAGCCATTATCTTTATTTAAAAGTGAGAAAACAAACTCAGAAAGTCTAAGAAACTTACTCAAATTAAACAGACAGTAAGCTTGCTAAATCAGAATTCGAACCTAAGCAATTTGACTCCAAAGCCTACCATCATTTACTAACACTGAATTATTTCCAACAACCAAACCATGGCCTTTTACTATCTCTCCTCTCCATTTATATATCACGAACAGCCTATTGAATTCAATTTAACAGATGCTTAGTGGAGATCTGCAGTATTGACAGACAATGGGCTACATTCTAAGAATACAACAGTGAACTAGCTAGCAATCTACAATCTACCAGATAAGGAAAGTTCTCTGACATTGCAAAATCTTTACTAAAAAATAAATAATGAACAATCATTTTGGAAATAGTTGCAATCAGCTAGAATCAGTTTTACTGCTCAACTTTCTAAGTAAATATTGGCAAATTCACTATACTCACTAAATTAAGCCATCCTCATCTGCAAAATGGCTATAAGAATATGAACAAAAGCACTGTCCTGTAGATGAAAACAAATTAAAACATATAAAACATCCACCACAGTACCTTAGAACTAATAAATATTTCAGTTTTTCCTTCTCTTAATTATGTTAAAATATTACAGAAAATACTATGTAGGCCCTGAAATCAGATTTCCAGTCCTGTGCTAATACCAAAAAATCTTAAGTATTTCAGCTGAGTGTAAAAAAATTAAAAAGTCAATAAAATCATATTATTTCTAACTCTACTAGCAGTTTCTACTAGCAGTTAAGAAGACTACGTTTATATATTGGTTTAATACAAAACCTCAAAAGTGTGTGACCAGACAAAAGTTTTTAATTCTGATCTGGAAATGTATATATGTTAAGTCTTATAAAATTATATAAATTAAAATAAAATTCACTTTTCCCAAATGAGGGTTTTTTTTTTGTTTTCTTTTCTTTTAAATTCCTGATGTAAACAGTGATCACCTTTGATAACATTCAGTGTAAGCCTTGACATTTCAGAAAGACAGGGTGAGGGAGCCCTCCGTGATCATTCAGAACTCCAAAGCCTTCTAGGCTTTTTGTTAAAAGATGTCTCATGATCTCTTTGAAAGATCTAATCAGATGAAGGGCAAAGTCATGGGTTATTCAATAATCTGCTTGTTCAGAGGTTTTCAGACTAGAGCATGAAGCTCTCAAAAATAAACTAAAAGAAACCTATTTTTATTTCCTTATTTTCCTTACTGCACACTTTTTTTAGGTGTTTTAAATTTGTATTTTGAAGCCAGCATATTTGCATTTCAATATATGGTCATTTTATGATTATGCTAAAAGTAACATACAGTCTTGTACCTTCATAGAGATTCAAAAAGGGAAATTTGTGTTAGCTTTGGAGCCTATGTATGTCATATCAGAAACAAGGAGACGGTAGCTTATTTCTAGAAAGAAAATATCTTGTATAGGGAGGTCACTAGGCCAGCCCACTTGGAAAGTTTATATTTTTGGTATTCCAGCAAGGGTCACATTCAGATCAGAATGTTTGTAGCACTCATATTTCATCCTTCCTTTGTCAGTAGATAGCCCTCTCTGCTGTTTCTTATGACCCTTAGTGACTGAGTAAATTTACTTTTAAACAAAAGACTGTAATTCAAAAACCAGGTTTGGCATTAGATGGCTCATTCAGTACACATACTGAATAGCTGATAAAATACAGGCTCTATGCTTTGCGTTGATAATTTGTGCTTTTTTGCCCATGAGGAATTTCTAAACTAAGACGAGTCATACTGGATGCCTGCACTGAAAATTATCCAATTTACCCCCTACGTCCCTTCTCTTAGCTGTGTAGATGTGACTCATGACTCAGCTTGTAGATCTTTGGGGTGTTAAGTGAAAAAGCAATCACTTGAATCACCACAGTTAACACAATGGCCGCAATAACAATTTGGGTAATTTTATGGCAAAACTCACTGACTTGAAGGGTCAGAAGTCATGGTTCTTAATTTTAATTATGGGCAGCCTTGAACAAATCAAAGCAGACTTAAATAAATGTATTTCTCTTGCCAAGTCTCCATTTTCTCACGTATTAAGTGAGGCTGGTGTCTCTGATTTCTAAAGCCCCTCTTTGCTCTCATTCCTTAGATTAACTCAAGTTGTTGCTGTCTTTCCCAACAGTCTGAAATGATCCATTTTTTGTAAGACTGAGATAAGCACACACACAAACATTATAGCTATATTGTGCATTAATGAGATTTTTACTTCATAATTAGTACTCTCTATATACTATTAATAAGAACAACCAAGCAGTGAATCTTCTAGTTAGGCATAAAACCTGTGGCAGGCAGTATACACGTTTTCTTACCATTCTGACCCTAACCAAGTAGTTTCGTGAACTCAAATTAGTCATTTCACCAATATGAGCCTCAGTTTCCTTACTGGTAAAATTAGGAAGCTAGACAGGATGTTCCAAAATAAATTCACTGTTGCTCTGGAAAACCCACTTTAGCATCAGGTGGCACACAGTTCTCCACCTCCTACAACTGTGTTTCCCCAGGCTGATTGCAACATCACCAGCAATACAACTTGGGTGTCACAATGGTATCCTTCAGATCATTATCTTCCAACTCATCCCTCACTCCCATATCTGAAGGGTCTCCAACACCCCATCAACATTTCCACTTCAGAAGCAGCTCTAAACTCTGCCCTTCTCCATCAACATTGCTACTGCTCCTGTTCGGCTTTTCATTGTTCCTCACCGGGACACCTGACAGCTCTCTAACTGTCCCTCATCACATCACATGCTCTCTTCCCAGAGATAAATTTAAATACATCTTTTTAGACAGTTGCCATTTGATAGTATAAAAAATCATGTGAAGTATTTATATGATACCCATTCCTGGGCTACACTACCTACAGATTCTTACTATTTTGGTTTTTTACAGGACCCAAGAATCTGCATTTGAAGTACATTCTATTTCTGTTCTGATTCATTTTCCAAAGGTAAGTCTTACAGTTAGGCTCATCTGTTTTAGCTATAAAATTTGTATAGCTTCATAAGCTACACAAACTTATGAAAGACATTTTTATTAATAGTAAGCATAAGGTTGTATATCTTTTGGCTCTAACTACTTTTTCAAACTCTTCTCTTTTCACTTCCTTCAAAGTGTCCTGTGGAAGTCACCCTGGACTACTCTTTATTTTCCTGAGGCACCTCCTACATTATTCTACAGATTTGCTTGCTCTTTACCTCTCAGTTCTCAAATCTTTAATGTCCTCCTATTTTTCCTCCCATTTGGTTCACTGAAATTCTATGCAGCTTTCACTGGTAACCTGAAATTTTACCATATTTATACAGCCTTCCCTGTCCTGAGAGTTGGAATCATTTACTTTCTTCTTCATGACCATTTATTTTCTTTCTCCTACACCATCAGTGTTTATATGGCTTATATTAATGCTTCAGTTTCCACCATCATATTGAAAATCCTGGAGAGCAGGTTAGTCTTGCTTTGATATTGTAAAACTCGAGAGCTATTTATTCACCTTTTAGATACGGTAAGACTTTAAGACACTATGAAGGAAATGAACTGAAATTAAGGCTCCTTCTTCCTCTAAAATAGATCATAATATATATTTTAATTACTGTTTTGTACTGATATAGCTACTCTATATTCAACTCTCACTTCTAGTAAAT